TATAAGAAAAACGATTCTGAACGGAGAGTGGAGACGGTTTGTCAGTCTGTATATTTTATATTGTCATTAATTATTATAACATGTAAGTTGTTTTAATACTATAAACATGATATTTATATAGATAATACCTACCTATTTTTTTTTTATTCGTTGCTACGGTGATAAACAAATTGTTAGAAATTAAAATCCCATTTTAAGCGGTTTTTCGTAATTTTTCAGTACTTTTTCCCGTGGCATTAATTAACTATTGAGAAAATCGAAAAATGACCTCTCTAAAGTACCATCTTGGTCCAATTTGCTAAAAGATAAAGTACTATATGTTGAAATCAAAGCACTCCTTCTGGTAGAAATGTTGTATACAGGATATAAAAAAAAAAATAAAAAAAAAAAAAAAAAACACCATTGTAAAACCACTAGCTTCCTTGCTCCGCTCAGAATCTAAAATATAAACTTTAATTAATAAATTATTTAGAGTGAAAAAAAATAATTAATATTTATACCTAGTGTAAAAATTGGAAATAATCGATAGAAATTTCTAATCAACAGTTCTATATCACATTCAATAATCAAATGATTGACCTCATTTTTTTAATTTACAATCAAAATATTATAACAAGAATAAATAAGTACTAAAATGTAGCATTTTTTAGGTTTTAGGAATTATAAATAGCACTTTTGGCCAGCTAAAAATGGGTTTCAGTCCACCGTGCGTTGTACGGGGTATTATTATAATATCAAATATGAACAATGAACTAGTCAGTAAGTTGTAGACAACAACTTGTGATTTGTATCTGTTTGACTTTGTCTGTATGACTGTATGTTTGGCTTTTATTTCCTACATTCGTATTCTGTGGACTGTGAAGTGTGAATAATTAAATTAAGCGTAAAATATTGGTGTAATAATCATTAATCGTAAATCCGTAAATTTGAAACTTGTACAAACGTTGGAAGAAATAGTTATGTATGTATGTTTCCATGAACGTGTCTAGAATAATAATAAAATATATTTTTATCATTAGAATATTATATGATTAGTTGTATATTATTCTGAAATGTGATTGTGAATCGTGAATGTAAATTATGAAAACACCATGGGAAATACTCAAATTAGTTAATAGCTGATACCTACTTCTATAATAACTAATTTTAGTTTTATATTATATATCATTGAATTATAGAATACGTGCAGGTACAGTATTTTAATTGTGCTATTACGGAATGTCTTTATAGACTTTTCAATAATAGAAAGTGTTCAAAATAATTTGGCCTATAATATTGCTCTAATAACCCGTTTTGTTTGACCTTCCCCCCAAAATGGTAATCCATTAGCTATTTAGCTGCATTATGTTTTGAAGTCTATTTAATATATTTTAAAATTACACACACGTAATATTTTGTTAATTGTTATTAATTTATTTTGGAAGCTATACCAAGGTATTAATTATTTATAGAATCATGAGTGGCACATATACACCAGGCACTGTTCCAACAGCACCATATGGATGGAATCAGCAAATAAGTGTTTCACCAGCAAGTCCTTACACCCCACAACCCGAATGTAAGTGACCAATTACATTTTTTTCTTCTAATATTTTAAAGGTATCTTATTTGATTTAGTTGTGAAGGCACCATATGAACTTATTACCACTGTTGTTCCTGTTGGCCCCCATAGTACCCGAATGGTCTGCTCCTTTTGCCGAAAAGAGATAACTACAAAAATACATAAAAAACCGATTACAAAGGCTTATATATCCAGTTTATTGTGTTGTGTGTTTGGGTAATAAATAAATAAATTAATCATTTTTATCATTTTAAATAGATATTCATTTGTAATTAGGTTGAGGGGACGCTACACGGCATTTGTTGTCTCCAACTAACACATTTTTAGCTTCGTTGGTTTAAAAATTAAGAGTAAATCAACCTATTTTTAAATATGATGGTAAGAACATTATCTGTGCTTGATGTGGGTTTTTTTACAATGAATCAATTTTTTAGCAAGTTTTATATATTTAATATAGCTTAAATTAAAAATGACCATTACTCACTTAATATCTGAATTATCGTAAAAAAAACCACATACAAACACAGATAATGTTTATACCATCCAGTTGCATACAAAATAGGTCGATTCTCTCGAATTTTTAAACTAATGAAGCTAAATACATGTTGAGTGTACATTTACTATGTTATGCACTTGTAAGACAGACAACAGAATATTATGTCTGTTCAGTGTCCTCTTAATATGTTAATACCTTTAATGTGAACTAGTCAAAATATCTGAATATAATATATGTATATACTATATATTTGTTTTATTTTTTGGAACTTAAAAGGACGTTATACCCACATATAAATTAACCGTACTATTTATGCATATATTATATTTTTAATACACACATTTTTCTAAAAAGATAGTAAAACATTTAAATTTTTATACAATTCAAAGTTATAAGTACTATTTGTTTAAATTATTATAATGATAACCTTATTAATTGATTTTTTTCAGATGTTTTTGGGGTCCTTGCTTAATACCGTTTTGTATGGATCAATGCTTAAATGTTGAACATAAATGCCCTAAATGTGAAGTTTATTTAGGGCAGTATATACAATAGGTTGTGTATATTTTTAACTAAAACCTTAATGTTCAAATTAACTGTTACTTACAAAACTTAGTATACTAATGCTTACTCAATGAGGCAGCTTGTTTGATGTATTCAAAAGACATTATGTATACTTACTAACAATTATTGTCTTCGGTGACTTGTAATTATGTGCCTTATAGTATTATTGGAAATATAAAATCTCTAAAACTACTTATAAATTAAACAATTTTTTTAATATCCCATTAGAATTTAGTTACCTCATATCATTATTAATTATAAAAGTTTTAATGTTATCTGTTTATACTTTTATTATTTTATATTATTATAATATTATAATGTGTTGTTTGTTTTTATTATAATTATTATTGTTATGACTAATAAAAAAATGTTCAAAGACTATTTCATTATTTTATTAGATACAGTTATTTGCAATTTACTATTTAGGTATCACTATAACAGTTAATTATAGTTCTAGCAGGTACGATACATATTCATTTCATTGAATCAAATAGGCCAAAGAGTGTTTACTTTAGCAAATATTAAGTACTAAAAAAAAGCATAAAATATTTTTCTATTAGTTACCTATTTTATTTATAATTTTGTTTTATAAAATAAACCTAGGTAATCTAAAAGTATGTATAAAATTAAACAAAACAAATAATGATTAAAAATATGATCACAGAATAAATCTAATTTCATCCACATAGCCACATCATATGGCCTGTAGGTTGCTACATAGGTTGCTGTGTGCTAGTTGCTTGAGCAGTCCTTGAAAAATAAATAAAAAGAACAGTGAATACCAATAACAGTGTATTAGTGTTTCATTAAAAACTAGCTCAATTATTCGAAGTTTAAAAATTGTTTAATATAAAATATAGGTACAATGCGAAGCTTATGTTTACATCAAAAATTAAGATATACTTAATATTATAAAATTAATTCGTGGCTTACAGCAAATACTATAAATGATAATGTGACGAAAACTAATGCCCTCAATTTCACTATTGGTGGCCTACCTTTGCCCCTTATTATTATTATTATTATTTTTGTTCATTGATAGACGGGTACTATAAATTATATATAATATAACATCATTTTTAAACAGTCTTAAAAATATGTAATATAAAATTATTTTAACATAACTTATTTTTAATAAGAATAAAATAATATCAAATACTATAAATGATTTATAGTATTTGATAATATTTAAAACTTTAACAAACCTTGTAAATAATAGTAAAATAATACTATTATATAATATAAAAATAATTTAATGCACTTTCCAACTTTATTATATATTTACAATTTACATAATATGTAACAATAAAATATATAAATACATAATAGCGAATAAGTATCATACTAATAATATAAAATCAATATTTATTCTTATGAATGTGTAATTTTTTTCAACTTTTTGTTTGCTGTTTTAATTGTATAGTGGGGCCATATTATTATTACAGTTTTTTATATAACTATTAATTAAAGCATTTATAAATTTTTTGATGAATTGAAGTTTACATATACAGTAGACGCCGCTTATAAGACTCACTGATATAAGGTTCAGTCGCTTATTAGACTCAAAATCGTCTGGAACGGTCCGGACGAATCCAAATACATTAAAAAAAAATTGGTTATAAGACTCAACACTTCGGTTATAAAACTCAAATTTCGTAAAATAAATAGTAGAAAATTTTTGGTTATAATTTAGAAATTAATTGGTATTGAAAAATTAAATAATATTCGTGTTGATTATTTCTAGTTTCTGGTGGTACCTTATAACGTACAATAAAAATAAATAATAAATACATAATAATATGTACATACATCCTTTATAATTTTTTATTAATGTATAATTTTTATAATATTTTTATATGTAATATTTACCTATTATAATTTTAGTTTTTTTTTATCAGGATTATTAAATTTATTCAATAATAAAGTATATAATATTATGTAATATGTGTTAAAGTATTAAAATCAAAGCAAAATATGTAATAAAATAAAATTTATAAATACGTAATTAATTTTTTTTTTCCACTTCGCCTATAAGATTCATTCGGTTATAAGACTCACTTTGTGCTGGTCCCAAAGTGAGTCTTATAAGCGGCGTCTACTGTACTACATATAATATGTATTGTCCTGATACATACGGTTTGAATCAAATTAATCATTTTACTTCTTACATTCGTTTTTGATTCCAATAGCATTTTTTGAATATTTTCTTTAAATAAACAAGTCATTCTTTTACAAAAATCAATCGTTGAATCAAATGGATACAGCAAATCACTATTTTCATATTCTTTCATTTCAATGAAAGTAGTACATGGGTTGAATACAGCAGTGTTACTTTTGTTTTTTGCTGCCAATTGTTTGATGCATTCAGGATGTTCAAGTTTACTGCATGCCCATCCTGTGACATAAGCTACCTACTTCAGATGTATTATGCGGATCCATGAGGATACTGTTGATATTTGTCGATGACAAATGAACATCTAGTATATTGTTACACATACCTTCATTATTTTCAATTGTATTATCCCATATGTTAAATGAATTTACTTGTAGACTAATTGTTTTTAATTCATTGAGCTTAGTTAAAAATTTGCAGGCATCCATTTCACAATTCCCTTCTTCTGATGGTGTAAGCAAATTATTACACATCAACATTCTTATTGCAGACTGAAATTTAGTAGCATCTGGAGTAGTATTATTTCTACCGTTTGCTCTAATTATTGAAAATACATTTTCAATACAATCTTGAGTTAACCTTCTGGTTAGTAAAAATTCTATAGAATATTCTGCGTTTAATTCTTCATACAGGAACTTCAGTGCATTTATTTTTCTCTCCATCCTTTAATACACGGAGGCTGCTTTCCTGACTTATTATGTATTTTCAAATTATTTAAAAACATATCAGCATATTTTTAAAAATTCCCAGTGACAGGAATCTTTGGTCAATGGCCTCCTCAAAAGTTTCGGTTCGTAGTATGTTATACTATTAAAAATGTCGAAAAGGCTATCAAAAAATGCAATACATGGTGTCAAATGGAGAGAAGTAGCAGAGGACAGGGATAGGTGGCAAAGTTTAACGTTTTCAGGATGGTCTTAACTCTTAAGGGCCGTAACTAAAGAAGAAGAAGAAGATATAACAAATCTAAAAGTTACTTACAACACTCAACATAATCCATTATCCGTTGTCCGTCCCAATTTAAATGAATAACAAAAACAAAACATATACACACATGCAATAAAAGTATAATAAAGTACAGCTGTAAAATTATATAGTTCATTAAAAGACAAAACACACTTACGTTTCTTAATATTATTTTCTGAAGCTGTTGTTAGTGGCTTAACAGTTATAATATTTGGAGATTCCAACTCAGGCTTTGGCTCAGTAAAAAGTCTACGATTGCATAATGTATTTGATTTCTCTATTTTAGATGTACCTACATATTAATTTTTAAAAAAATGTGAAAATTTAAATAGTGTAATCAAAAAAAAATAAAAAATAATTGTATAAATAAAAAAAAAATTGAATTAACCTTGGGATTGGGAATTAGTTATGCATTGTATTACATGAGGACTTAAAACTTTAGGTAATGCCGTTAAGGGGCCTTACTACCACGTCTTTTTTTTGTCAAAAACTACTGTTTCTAATTCCAACGATACGTGTCGACAATTATAACGATTTTCATTCTAAAAAAATATTCTGATTGTCCGTAATATATACAAGGGAACAATCGAGCCACATTTTTAATTTTTGTAATTTAAATTGCAATAAAAATTGTGAAAAATTCAAAAAAAGTACAGAATTTCCAACTTCAATATTTAATTAACTAAATACAATTTTAAAAATGTGCCTCGATCGATCCCTCGTACATGCTGTGGAAAATAAGAATATTTTGTCAGAATGAAAATGGAGGTAATCGTTGAGACGTAATGTTGGAATTAAAATCGTATGTTTGAGTGAAAAATAAACATTTTTTCATGATCACAATACAGTAAAACCTCTGAATAGCGGACACTATCAGTCGCCGAAATTTTGTCCGCTATTTAGAGGTGTCCGCTATTTAGAGGAAAACATTTTTTTTAACAAATAAATAAATTCAATAATTTTATTTTATATTATTTTTACATTAATTGAATACACGATAAAACTAACATTTATGAAAAAAAAAACAGTTACCTAAATTTGTATTTTAATTTTTACATTAATTAAATACATACATTAAAAAAAAATAAAAACTAACATTTCTGAAAAAAATCTGTTACTTTAGTTTGTTTACTAATTGCAGGCGTAGTTATTTCGTATGTTAAGGCATTTTCTAATTGGACTGTGTTTGAGAACAATGAACTATTCTGTACCTCGATAGAAGAAATATATTTATTTACGTATGTCTTTTACTGCTAGCAATGCCCCTCGTAGACTTCTTATTTTTGGAATTTCTTGATCTTCGCGGACCCACCATTTTCTTCATCACTTTCTTCTTCATTTTGTGTAGCCGTGCTCGTAGTATCAGATGAATTTTCGATATCGGCGTCGTAAGTCTACGCAATCGTCTAGTGTTATGTAGTCATTTTCCGTAATTGTATTGTAAAAATAACTAATATCAACTCCATAAAAGTGTCCGTTATTTAGAGTGTCCTGTATTTAGAGGTTTTCCTATACATAAATATTGAAAATGTTCCCGTCCCCGAAAAAACGTCCTCTATTTAGAGGTGTCCGTTAAGGGAGGTTTCACTGTATTATGTATTGACATGTGTGTGCGAGTGCGTGCGAGATTTAGTATTCTATTGTCTATGGACATCACACACACTAATAATCATTTACGACTAACGCCATCTCGGGTGGCGACGACGAGATTAGAAATTACCTAAATGATTCTCCTTAAATCAATGCCATTGCGAGGCCCCTTAATACAGACGGAATAGAGTCTTTGAACAATAATCTGTAAATATAGGTATGTAATTTGAAATAATTAGGAAATAGGATGATATTTCCATTTAACTTAGATGACTTAATATATTATAGCAAAACTAATGACTTTATTACCTATGTAAAAGTTGAATAACTCAAGTTTTATTTCCTACCCTTTTCCATATAATATAATCAGATGATTTAAAATGATCAGAACAAATAACTAGGTTCTTGTTTAAAAATCTAGAACCCTTAGATTTGAAAACATCCATAATTTCTGAGCTTCCACACCACTCGACCCATTTTTTACACCTAATATATTAATTTATGCAGAAATCGTAGAATGGAATTTAAAAATATATTACCAAAAATAATATCAAACTATGTAGTCTACAATTATTATTTATTTTTATTTAGAAGCATAATATGGTTCTGTACATAATTATTTTAAGAAACTTACATTTCTTCATTACATGGAAATCTATGAAAAGCTAAATTTGGATTTAATTTCCCTGTATTGTAACAATATTTTGTTGAACATGACTTTTTAGAACACATTTTTATTTTTCATAAGTTTTTATATTATACAAAACAAATATTGATCTTAAAAAGTAGTCATTTTTGTTTACATCAGCCACTTAACATTTTGGCGGTATTTATTATATGAATTACGCCTTGGATATAGGCAAACATAGTACAACCCGAAGGCTCCGTATGTCACTGCTGATTACCATTGCATTCTCGTATTATCATTTATATTTTATTATTCCCCGTGTCTATTATACGCCCGACCATGGTCACCTTAGTATATCTTAGTCCGTGCTCCCGACCATGATAGGTAAAGGCGCCAATTTTTGTTCTATACCTTACCTATACCGCTTATACCGCATAGTATAGTTCAATAATAATTAATATAAGCAGGCTGTGAATGCGCCTCCCGACCATTGTCGTTATAATATTACATGATATTAACTAATAATAATATAAAATATAAAAACTGAATACTTATAGTAGGCAACTGCATCTGCAACATAACCTCGAACATAACATATAACGAAATCACATGAGCATAACTTCATAATATGGACAAAAGACAACTATTAACTATATTTGTAAAGATTTAGGTAAGTTACATATATTCATTAATTAATTTGTTTGTTGTATTTATATCGTTAATTTTTATACTTTTTATATGTAGAACCTGTATTTTGTACAGGTTATAAAATATAAATATTAAATACAACAAACAAATAAATTAATGAATATAATATGTAACTTACCTAGATCTTTACAAATATACTGGGTGATTCTTTTATCAAACAACACTCATTATTTCAAAAAGTGTAAATTTTTTTGAAAATATTTTTTTACATAGTTTCAAGTCGCTTATAAAACAACGTTTTTATTAAAACATTATATTTTTAAATATTTTTTGTCCTTATAATTTTTTAAGTTTTTTACTTTTTTGAATAACAACAGGGTTTTAATTTTATATTCCAAAGCAGAATATTTTTCTTAGTATTTTGATACATGAAAATCGAATTTGGGTTGAGTAGTTTATGAGTTATAAATATTCAAAGTTTGATGAGCGGTGAAGTGGACAAACATTTCGAGGGGTAACCCCGAAACACTCCACTCCGCTCGTCTAAACTTTAAATACTTATAACTCGTAAACTACTCGCCTCAAATTCGATTTTAATGTATCAAAATACTAAGAGAAATATTCTACTTTAGAATATAAAATTAAAACCCTATGTTGTCATTTAAAAAAGTAAAAAACATAAAAAATTATAAGGATAAAAACGTTGTTTTATAAGCGACTTGAAACTATGTAAAAAAAATTTTCAAAAAAATTTACACTTTTTGAAATAATGAGTGTTGTTTGATAAAAGAATCACCCAGTAGTTATTAGTTGTCTTTTGTCCATATTATGAAGTTATGCTCATGTGATTTCGTTATATGTTATGTTCGAAGTTATGTTGCAAATGCAGTTGCCTACTATAAGTATTAAATTTTTATATTTTATATTATTATTAGGTAATATCATGTAATATAATAACGACAATGGTCGGGAGGCGCATTCACAGCCTGCTTATATTAATTATTGAACTATCCTATACGGTATAAGCGGTATAGGTAAGGTATAGAACAAAAATTGGCGCCTTTACCTATCACGGTCGGGAGCACGGACTAAGATATACTAAGGTGACCATGGTCGGGCGTATAATAGACACGGGGAATAATTAAATACTATAAAATATAAATGATAATACGAGAATGCAATGGTAATCAGCAGTGACATACGGAGCCTTCGGGTTGTACTATTTTTGCCTATATCCAAGGCGTAATTCATATAATAAATACCGCCAAAATGTTAAGTGGCTGATGTAAACAAAAATGACTACTTTTTAAGATCAATATTTGTTTTGTATAATATAAAAACTTATGAAAAATAAAAATGTTTACCTACCATGGTCGGGATTTCCTTATCTTACCGACCATGGTCGGGCATATAGAGTATAGACACAGCGTTAATTATTATAGGATTTGATGCGCTAGCGCTACAGGTCTTCAGGAGTATCACTTGTTTTATAACACTCCGGTGTATGGTAGCTTAACATTTGTTCCAAGTGATCGAACTTCACATTGATCTTCCCCGAAATCATTTCGAGTTGGTCTTGTAGTGTTTCGTACATTTGAGATAGACCCTTATATTTTAGCATTATGTCTTTAACATCTTCTAAACGTATAATTAGATATTGATATTATAACGTAAAATTTGTTTGAAATACCGATAATATTTAAATTATAATTTATAAATACTTTCGACGGCAATCAAACGAATATTAATGTTGTTCAAATTTAATGTCAATCCTTTGAATTGTGTGTCGAGTCTTAACTTTTGTTCTAAACAAGAGAAAATGTATCGTTA